AAACTGTGTGTGTGTACACTGTGTGTACAAACTGTGTGTGTGTACCCTGTGCGTGTACAAACTGTGTGTGTGTACCCTGTGCGTGTACACTGTGAGTGTGTACACTGTGTGTGTACACTGTGCGTGTACACTGTGTGTGTGTACACTGTGTGTGTACACTGTGAGTGTGTACACTGTGTGTGTACACTGTGTGTGTACCCTGTGCGTGTACACTGTGAGTGTGTACACTGTGTGTGTACACTGTGTGCGTGTACACTGTGTGTGTGTACACTGTGTGTACAAACTGTGTGTGTGTACACTGTGTGTGTGTACACTGTGTGTACAAACTGTGTGTGTGTACCCTGTGCGTGTACACTCTGTGTGTGTACACTGTGTGTACAAACTGTGTGTGTGTACACTGTGTGTGTGTACACTGTGTGGACAAACTGTGTGTGTACCCTGTGCGTGTACACTCTGTGTGTGTACACTGTGTGTACAAACTGTGTGTGTGTACACTGTGTGTACAAACTGTGTGTGTACACTGTGTGTACAAACTGTGTGTGTGTACCCTGTGCGTGTACACTGTGTGTGTGTACACTGTGTGTGTGTACCCTGTGCGTGTACACTGTGCGTGTACATTGTGTGTGTACAAACTGTGTGTGTGTGTGTACACTGTGTGTGTGTGTACACTGTGTGTTGGCACAGTCGGGGGTACAGATGGTGCATCGGCCAGTCAACTGAGTCAGTCGACCCATGGCACCTGGGTCTACCCCGTGCACATAGCCTGGCACAAGCGCCATGGTGACGTGACCGCCACTTAGTGGCGAATGGCGGTTGTTGTTATTGTTACTGTGTGTCCGGCAAAACAAGAAATGGCACCTCAGCCAGCCATCTCATTGAGTAGCCATTACCAGATCATCAGCAGATGCAACAGGGCTGACCAGCAGGGAAACAGGTCCCTGCGGCGTGGGCTGGTAGGAACGAACAAATGAATGGCTATAATAAAATGAAACGGCGGGGGTACGATACGAAGGGAGAGTTTGAGGCCTAGTTCTAGGCTTTAGGCCTAGCTGTAGGCTTTAGGCCGCTGTGGGTTAATTTTTAATTTAAATGTTTTAATTAAAAACTATCTCAGGGAATTATAAGGGAATGTTACACTTGTTTAGCCAGGAAAGCCTCACTGAGTCTAAAGGTTTTTGTAGGGTCCTGCCAAGTGTTTGCAGTAGGGGGCGATGTTGCTACACGTAATCGGACAGACGGACGATATAATCTATTGTAGGCTGGTTCACTTCGTTCCTATCAGTATAATCCCTTAACTATAACCAGTCATCGATAAGCATATTATTTTTAACTGCGACGAATCCAATTTATTTATACGGCCATTGTGAGCTTCTCAAACTACATAATTATTGAAGATGCTATGTGATGTGTAATAAACCCCGTTGAGACGACATCGTGAATTGAGAATTCTTTATTCAGATTCGTTCACAGCTTCCACCACATTCGTTCCTCCAGTTCCCTTGCTCCTTCATGCTGTTGGCTGACAGCGTGAGAGAGACTGCGGGGCCCGCTACGTGGCAGGCTCCGGACCACGGCACCAGCGTGGCTTCTCCGCGCCTTTTAATCCCTGGCCCACGTGATGCCCCACAACCAATCCTCAGCCACACCCCTGGAACTTTCTCGAAGCTACTTTACGGCTCCAGGGCCACGCCCCTAACTCGACTCCCCATTGGTTGCGGGCTGAAGCCAGCAGAGCCAATCATCATCATCCAGGTGTAACCTCACATTACAAATGTAATGCATTGGGCCGAAGTGAATTTCTGTCACAAGCCGAGTTGAACAGGAAATGGTTCCAACTCCTGGTCACGCACCTTTAGATGGGCCTGCCCAAAATCATAAAAATCCTCAATGAATGTGAGCAGAGGCAGAGACATCGAAATTAAGGAACCCAAAGCACCAAGCCTATTTAGGGTACCATAGGCCTTAATTACATCAAGAAAGTAGGGATCTTGTTTCTGGTGAAAATCCGTACTCCTCTGCTGTACTCGATCGACAGAAAATACAGCCGCCCCTTGAATATCGGAGGTTACGTTCTTGGAAAGTTCTGCGAGACTGCTAAAAACGCGATATTCAATACTTAAGCCTTACCCAAGTAATGGCGTTAGGTAAACGTCAACTAAAATTTACATCACAATTGAAATACGTACTGCATTCCAAATCAACTAAAAACTAAACAATTGAAATAAACATTGGGAAACCGTGTCTCGTGCATTTGGTTACAGGTCTACCCAACACTTATGGTCACACATGCTGTCTGCTTCTACTCGACATTGTCCGAAAAGTCCTACAATACTTTCACATCCACAAATGGCTGTGATTCGTCTCGGGCTCTATTAGCGGCCTGGAAGTCAAACCCTGGAGCCTTCACAGGCCACCTTCACGAATGGTGACGTTTCCCAGCTGCCATTTTTATTGGGTCCTTGAATCACAAACGATGGGCTTATGGAACTTCAAATTTCACACGTCAATCTCAGACCCTGCTCCTTGTAGACCTCCTTACGCGTGTTTCAGTTTCAAGACAATTCAAAATGCCTTCCAAGTGTACATTAAGTGGTTTTTAATGTGTTCCCTGGCAGTTGTGAAGATTTGATTACTGTGTAAATGCAGTCAGATTCCGTGGAGGCGAGTTCTGCTCTTGGTGACATCACAAGGAGGCCCTGACGTAACCCACTCGTTAATTTGAGGTGACGTCTTCAGAGGGAGAATCTACATATTTAAGTAAACATGTGGTAAACAAGGTGGGATATCAATGCAGACATATATCTAAAGTTTAATTTAAATAGAAGTTAAAATTCAATAAAACCTAGGCTAGAATACAAATCTGTAACAAAAATCCACGATGCCTTCAAATGTGCTCTTTAAAGTACCTCCTTGCGAAAAACAGATCGGCAGACATCTTTCATTGAACGTTCTCTACACGAAACAAAGGAATGTTTTACACAAACTATAAATACCACGGCCTTTTAGGAATGCATGTATAATGGGTTCCGGAGACACTTGTAGAGGTATCTTCTTTATTACAATAAAACACTCCAACAGTTCTGATACTCTGTTACAGTCTAGGTACATAGCCTAGGTACACAACCTAGATACACTACTCTCGCTATGCTCTGGGGTCCTCCGGCTGCAATTACTCTAGGGGAGGCTAATTGACCCGATCCAGCCAAGGTGCGGGTCTGGACTCTGGCTTCCTCGGAACGCGCCCTTACAAGGACGTAGAGCCGGGAGTCCCAGAGTCCCACCACTGGCCCTCACAGCGTCCTGGCCGATACAAGAAAAAGCAGGACGAGGGGGTCCAGGGTCCTAAGCTGGCTGGTCTTGGGTCTTGAGCTGCAACTGGCCCCGATCGGCCAGGGAGCTGCCCTTTTATGCCTCGTCCCCAACGAGGGGTGGGGTTGTGTGCGCCCCCAGATATCCCACAGAGCACGCACAGCTCCCCCGTTGGTGGCGCCAAGGGGCTTAACTGTTTGGGGTGCCTGGGATCCTAGCACCTGGCGCCGAGGGCTTATCTGCCTAGGATCCTAGAGCCCCCAGCAGCCCCTCCTCTCTTATGGCACTACACGTGTTCAGTACAAGCCACCTGTGGACTGGTTTTGGTGTACAATGTCTCAACAGTCCGGCTTGCTTCAACTGATGTTCATCGGCAAGGTCCATTTCAAGTCTCAGTTCGACAAAATGTATACGTAATACAAAATGATAATTAGTGTTTTTGTGGAGAATGTATCTCCTATACGTAACTTTTAAGTGGCATACCTTAACTGATGAATGATCCGACTATGCTCCCGATTTCAAAGACAATGAGTTGCCCCAGTCAGATGCGTCCTGATTCACAAAAATACCCTTTGACTCGTATCACAAAAATAACAGCTCTCACGTGAGTTTTTGTACAGGTTACCACCAAAACAAATACTTTGTCCTGACAGCACATATTCCATGTTTGACATTAATACACAAAATGTTGTATGTACGTACAAAATCAGACGGGTATTCTTTCAATTATGATTCAAAATAATCAAAGGGCACATTGGCAACATTTTATTCCTATACTGAAATGTACTGCGTCACGTTGCAACGTATTTACAAGTTGATCTCTGCCGAGATGAGGCCTATATGTGCAGCACTCTCATAGAGGGAAGCCAAGTAGTAGTACATTCTCTATTTGTTGCAGAGGTTCAAGGTTCAAATCCGACTGGCATATCAATCATCTCCCCCGACTTACAAACTCATATCCACATGCAGGCCAGTGAACGGTCACCTTGTGGCACACAGGGGCAGATGCCCATTATGGGCACCCATCGAGTGTCTAAGATGAGATATGATACAAAACACTTGAGTCACTCCTGGTTAGAGATCGCCCCAACCCACAGGTTCACAAATACTGGCCACGCTTACACTGCAGTTTGAACCTAGAAATTGAGTGTTCAACTTCACATTATATTCATTAGAAAGGCCTGTGACAAAAGTGCATCCATTGGAGCTTAATTGTCTGAAGCTTGCACATCTACCTGGTCTCCATTTGACTTTGTATTGTCTAAGAAGTCCACCCACACCTCCACATCCACAAACTCCTGGGAGTTGCCTCGCTCTGCCTCACAGTCAGAATTTAGTTCCTGTTTCACACTGCCTCCATCTATGTGAAGGTCCAATTTTGGAGTTGAATCATCTTCAAATTTAACCTTCACTTCTACGCTCTTCACTGTTACTTCTTCACATTTCACCTTCGCCTCTTCATATTTCACCTTGATACCTTTCCAAGTGTCCAAGCTGGGATTGTCTTCTGGTTCTTGTTTCATGAACAATGGGGTCATTGCAGCACTTTGACTTTCACAAGCTGATTTCAGATTACACTTCTTGTGGATTTTCTGATGCTTGTGTGTTCTCTGGTGTTTTTTAAGATCTGATGAATGTGCAAACGCTTTCCCACAAACACTGCACTTGAAGAGTTCCTTTCCTGTGTGTGTGCTCTGGTGTTGTTTAAGAGTAGATGAATCTAAAAATGTCTTCCCACACACACTGCACTTGAAGGGTTTATCTCCTGTGTGTGTTCTCTGGTGTCGTCGAAGAGCAGATGAATCTGAAAACGCCTTCTCACACACACTGCACTTGAAGGGTTTATCTCCTGTGTGTATTCTCTGGTGGGACTGAAGATTTGATGACTTTGCAAACGCCTTCCCACACAGAGTGCACTTAAAAGGTTTCTCTCCTGTGTGTGTTCTCTGGTGTTGTTTAAGAGTAGATGAATAAAAAAATGCCTTCCCACACACACTGCACTTGAAGGGTTGATCTCCTGTGTGTATTATCTGGTGGGCCTGAAGATATGATGACTTTGCAAATGCCTTCCCACACAGAGTGCACTTGAAGGGTTTCTCTCCTGTGTGTGTTCTCTGGTGTCTTTGAAGATGTGATGACTGTGCAAACGCCTTCCCACGCACAATGCACTTGAAATGTTTCTCTCCTGTGTGTGTTCTCTGGTGTCTTTGAAGATGTGGTGACTGTGCAAACACCTTCTCACACACAGTGCACTTGAAAGGTTTCTTTCCTGTGTGTGTTCTCTGGTGTGATTTAAGAATGGATGACCGTGCAAATGCCTTCTCACACACAGTGCACTTAAAAGGTTTCTCTCCTGTGTGTGTTCTCTGGTGTTGTTTAAGAGAAGATGAATCAAAAAATGCCTTCCCACACACACTGCACTTGAAGGGCTTATCTCCTGTGTGTGTTCTCTGGTGGGTCTGAAGATTTGATGACTTTGCAAATGCCTTCTCACACACAGTGCACTTGAAAAGTTTCTCTCCTGTGTGTGTTCTCTGGTGTTGTTTAAGAGTAGATGAATCTGAAAATGCCTTCTCACACACACTGCACTTGAAGGTCATCTCTCCTGTGTGTGTTCTCTAGTGCTGTGTCAAGTTTCCAGTATGATCAGTGATGTTTGCAATCTGATCGCATTGTTTCCTTCTTGTACCGAGCTGCGCTGAGTGCCTCTGCTCCATCAGACCAATTCTGCAGAGGAAGCGCAAATGCAGATAGAACAAAATATATCCACACCATCTACGTCAGTATCGAGGCACAGAGGAATGCATATATACACAGTCACACATGACTTACACATCTATACTTATTCATATTTTCATGATATCGTGAAAGAGATTCCCCGATTCATCACACGGGCTGTTAAGGCACACAATGAGAGGGCAAATGTCATAAATATGCCTGGACACCCTAGTGTCTTCAAAATGAATGTTTACAAAAAACTCCAAGCACACAATTTTGGTTGTCTAGCTACGACAGGAATATTTAAGAAAAATGTGCTAACATAGCAAAGGCTGTTGAAAAGAATATTATTTGTATTATGCAGAAATGTATAAATAAATGTTCATTTGCAACTTAGAGTTGTGAAGCCAGGCTCAAATGAGCTTGAATGCGAGGATGAACAGATTTAACTTCAGCTGCATATGTGCTGTGTTAATTTCCTGTTTCCATTCTTATAAAAATTTCCAGAGCAGAACTAAAATAAACTATTATTATGATTTAACCTCCATGTTCAATCGAGTCAATATACTTGACAGTAAATACAAACTTTACATGTTCATACACTTGCATGGTAAAAAGGTGGTTACATTTTGACTTAAAACTTTCGTGACTGCAGGAATTAATATTCTTTGGTTATTTCGGTAAAGCCACGTAGATAGAAAATAATAATACAAATAAAGTGAATAGAAATAAAGATAAAACGACAAATGTAGACTGTAGCCTAGTTCTTAACCTCGGTGAGCGTACTGCCAGTCTATAATGTAGACTGCAGCCTGGTTCTTAACCTCGGTGAGTGTCCTGGCAGTCTATAATTTAGACTATAGCCTGGTTTTTCGACTAGAACTTGGCGATGGACTAGACCTTGGCGATGGACACTCACAGCTTGGTATGGAGAAAAAGTCCAGGCAGCTTCCACATAGTGTTCCAGAGCCTAATGAAAGAAAGCTGCTAGACCAATTTGAAGTGAGACTTTGGATGCCAAACCAGAGCTGGTCGTGAACACATTAACCAGGTATAGAAGCTCCTCCACCACGTGTAGAACTACCTTATTATTCATGGAGAGCCAGAGGTCGCAAACGGGTTTTGATTCCTTACCCGTACCCGGCCGCACCAGGGTCGCAAACGGGTACCCTACCCAATACCCGGCCGGGTACGGGTAGCTGGGTATCAGGTAGGGTACGGGTATCGGGTACTCGATTGCGACCTCTGGGATGAAGCCATGTTTCAGGTGCGGGTGGGTTGATTCTAGGAACTTGAATTGTGAGAGAAGACAAGACGTTGGAAAATGAGTGACAAACGGTTACTCACCAGTGACTCACGGCCTTCTCAGTCATTGGTTGGGGTGAGTCACGTGCGGCTACCCGTACCCGGCCGCACCAGGGTCGCAAACGGGTACCCGTACCCGGCCGGGTACGGGTAGCCAGGTATCGGGAAGGGTACGGGTATCGGGTACCCGATTGCGACCTCTGTAGAGAGCTGAGCAGGTGCAGTGTTGTATCACATTAAATTCTCAGGGAGGTGTTCATATGACTTTACCAAAAGACCCAAAGAATATTAATTCCTGCAGTCACGAAAGCTTTAAGTTAAGATTTTCCCAGGGAGGTGATCTATTTTTGTAGAACATATGCAAGACCCAATTTCGTCATGGAATTCTCCAGGTACAGAACAAGATTCTCCAACTCAAAATCAACGAGTAGCCATGACCAGATCATCAACATGCGTAACATGGTTGACCAGCAGGGGACAAATAGCGTATCATTGTTACTGTATGGAATGCAATTTTTTATAGGGCCACACGTAGAGTACACTTGTGGAGTACACTCACAGAATTTATTTCTTAGGGTCCTTCGATTTTTCCCCTCCACATTTAGTAACATGCATTTAGATTATTTGGCTGCTATAATCTTCCACGTTTAAAGCCATTTCGTTGAGCTATCATCTATGGCCAGGTGGCTTCTGACAAAAGATCTAACAGCTCTGTGAGCCTTGGTTGGTAATATAAAAATAGTTTACACCATTGGAACCTCATTTGCCAGTAAAAAATATAATTGTTTTTTTACCCTTTTATCTGGCAACAAAACTGACACCTTTACGAGGAGTCATGTTTGCATAGACCACAATACCTGCAGTCATAATGAAAAAAAAAACATAACTCTGATAATGTATGCACTGTCCTTGACGTTGATTGGTCCACACCCGAGACAGCTTTCCTTAGAGCCTAGTCAGAGTATGTTTTTGTTTGCATTATGACTGCAGGTATTGTGGTCTATACAAACATGACTCCTCGTAAAGAAGGTGTCAGTTTTGTTGCCAGATAAAAGGGTAAAAAAACTATTATCATAAAAATAGTTGTTCATCGGTCTAAAGGGTGCATCAGCAAAACCAACTCGGCAGAACGCTCCTGAATTAGAGTGCTGAGACTCATTGTGGTCATGTACTCGAGTGTGCACCATGGTGGCTGGGAGATGGTAACTGCCTCTCATGGATTACAGGAGCTGGTGGGTTCGATCGCGATCCCTCCTGTATGTTTGGAGTTTGCGTGTCTCTCTCTCTCCCCGTGGTCGCGTGGATTTTCCTCCGGATCCTCAGGGTTTTCCCCTCCACGTTTAGAGTCAACATCACCACGCGTTTAGAGTATTTGACCGACAGACATTTCCACACGTTGATAAGCCACTTTGTTCTGGACTGGTCGCTTCTGAAAACAAGAGCGGTATAGCAGCTGAAGTGGGCTTGGCCTGGTAGGATAAAAAAAAACTGTAGAAATATTTAAAAGAAACACACTTCAAAGTAGTGAGCCAGATGAAGACAAATTAAACTTGAGCAGAGAATTAAAGCAGATGCAATCAGGCGAGGGCAGGAGGCAAGGCCCCGCATGGCTAGGCCCCGCGTTGTAATGTTCCAACCTGGACATCGATTCCAGACTCGCTGCTACTCAATTGATATCCCTACGAGAGAGACGGAGCGAGGCTCTGCCTGAGTAAACAACAACAACAACCACCACAACAACCACCACCACGATGTCAACTTCTCACCTCGGATCTGTGAGCGCGCGCTCACGGTGCAGCAACTTCCGGATATATCGTGACGTCACGCGGCAGCAGGAGGTGACATGACGTCACGCGGCAGCAGAAGGTGACATGACGTCACTAGCGGGGTTCATCACACAATCCCCTCACCCAACGAGCGGCGGTGTAATTGAATAAATTATGTTAATGAGCCGGGCCCACGTGGGGTGATTGGGCTTGGCTGCTGAACCCGTCGCAATGAAATAGCGACGGTTTTTATGAATAAATTATGTTAATGAACCGCCAGTGACTGGGCGTAGCTTTTCCCAAAAAATAATTTTTACTGGAACGGAAATCGACAGTGACCAACTAGACGTGACGTCACGCTCAAAAGCGCGGTCGAGGGGGGGCTGGGGGGTTGAATACATTGGTGACATGACGTCACTAGCGGTGTACAGCTCTCCCTGGCGTCTCACGCCGACAGGTTAATGAGTGGTGACGTCAGAGAGCGAGGTCAGGGTGAGAGTTTAAGTTTATTTAGATTACATTTCTATTGTTGCCTCTGTTGAACAGAGACCCCTTGGGTGTGTGAGCTCAACAACAACGTGAACATTATTGTGTGTACACAGTGTGCGGCATCACAATATCATCCCTGGGGCCCGGCCCAGGGGTTGCGTTGGCCAACAAGCACCTTGTGGCCGGGTGACCCACGTATCCCCGTCTGGCCCAGCCTGAAATGGCTACGTGGCACCCTCCAGTGCGCCCGCCATCTGCAGAACGAAGGGTGAGGGGCGGGTGTGAGGCCAGTATGCCAGGGAGGGAGATGGTCTCAGATGGACTTGATCTTGGCGATGGACACTCACAGCTCTGTATGCAGCAAAAGTCCAGGCAGCTTCCACAGTGTTACAGTCTAATAAAAGAATGCTGCTCGACACATGAACCAGGTATGGGAACTTATCCGCCACTTGTAGAATTGCTTGACTATTAATGGAGAGTTGACATGGATTCCCAAGCAGGTGATTTATTTTTGTGGAACATATGCAAGGCCCCATTTCATGATGGAATTATCCAGGCATCAGAACAAGATTCCCTAACTCCATCTCATTGAGTAGCCATTACCAGATCAGCAGATGCAACAGGGCTGACCAGCAGGGAATGATCCCTTAACGATAAACAGTCATCGATAAGCGTATTATTGTAACTGCAACGAATGCAATTTATTTATACGGCCATTGTGAGCTTCTCAAACTACATAATTATTGAAGATGCTATGTAATGTAATGCATTGGGCCAGAGTGAATTTCTGTCACAAGCCGAGTTGAACAGGAAATGGTTCCAACTCCTGGTCACGCAGCTTTAGATGGGCCTGCCCA